GATCTCACTCCTATTTACGGGCTATGCCACTCCAGAAAAACTATAAATAGAGTCCTCATTCTACACCAAAGGGACTCAAGTGAAGAGAGAGAAGAAGAAGAGAAAAAGGAGAGGAGAATGGGGAAAAGAAGATTCCTCACCTCCTCGACCACCGCCGGAGCTCTTCCTGCCGCCTGAAGACGCCGGAACTCTGCCGGATTTTTGGGAAACGCCGGGAATTTGCAAAACTTTGTAACTTTGTGAGAAGTTGATTGTAAATTGATCGTCTTGATTTGTAAGACGGATCAACCTTTTTACTCAAACAAATACTAGTGGAACTTTACAACTGGGCGATGCCCCGTGGTTTTTTCCCTCTTTTGGGTTTTCCATGTAAAAACCTTGGTGTTCGCTTTCTCTTTTCTGTTTGTGTGCGGAGTACTCGTGCAACGCTAAGACGAATATTTCCTAACTCTACTGCCGCGTATATTCTAGCACGCAACAAGGTTCAATAGCTAATCTGGTTTTCAAAACTTTGATAATAAGATTTATAGTATTTTAAAAAGTTCTTCTATCATCTCTACACGTTTATATAAACATAAATTCAGTGGCAAAACAGTTAATTAGAATATCTTGAAATAATTTCTATTAGAATAGACATAAAAAATTGGCAAAGGTCATGGAATATGTTAATGAGAAAACAAATGACATATGACAATAAATATCTTTAAAAGATGAAATTTTGTTGAGATCCCTACGATACAGCATCTTGATTTAGCTCATAAATAGTGCTTGTTTTAGAGAGTGCTAATATAGGCCTTTTTGGAGGCTCTAATCCTAAATAGTGCTTATTTTAGAGTGGCACAAACAAAAATTTTTCTCACATCGCATAGTGTTAACACTCTAATTTTATGCTCTAAGGGTTTGTTCGAGATATCTTTTTCATGCTTTATTTTTCAGTTAGTAATCATAATTTTATTTGACTACTGCTTATTCATTACATTTTAGAAATTGTTGTATAAAAAACTATTGTTTTACAACCAAAATAGTTAAGTTATTTTTCTCACACTAATTTTATAAAATATTACAACTGTCCCAAACAAAACTTAAAACTTGCTGTTTTTTCCTCTCTAATTTGAATATTTGAAAGGTGTTGATGTTCTTTGCAAATGCAATATTTTATTGATAGCTTGAACTTCCCATTTTTGATATAAAGGAGGATATCCCAACCTTTTTTTCCTTCAAATTCTTTTGTGAATGCAACATAGGAAATGTGATCAATATGCAACTAGAGTAACTAAAGATTTTTCCCTACAATAATTTCACAATCACTTTATAAAAAAACTATAATCATTCCAAATAAATCCTATATTACAGGATGATTATTAAATAGAAATTGATGTGGAAGAACACAAAAGAATTTTATTTTAAAATTTGAATATTAAATAACAAATTATTTAACTAAAATCAATAATAAAAGAGGACTAGTTGCAGTCATTTATATGGTTACTCGAAAGCCTTCCAAATCCAAAAACTTGAGAGGATGGGCAAATGAATTGAGGCTTATGGACTTGGATCTTAACTTTAAAGGAGTGCTGTTATTGACCTATAATACAATCAACTTTCATGTATTTGATATTCTCCTATTGATAGAGAAGACAAATTGAAGACATGCATGGTCTACTCCTTAGGGTAAATTTTAATACAAGCATATCCAATTATTTGGCTTTATGTAGGATTCTCTAAAGTTTTTTGTCAATCTCTTAAAGTATTTATCGTGCATCCAAATTAGATAAAGTTGTGGTCTAACTCAGCTAATCTATTATAATGTTTCGATTAAAATAGTGTGATGACATACTACCTAATACAACATTAATGTTTTGTTTGGGACATTTTACTATTTTTTACTGTAGATTTTTAGTACAAAATTATCTTAAAAGTAGAGAAAATATAGTGATTAAAGACTATCTCAAACAAAACATAAATCAATGGGCAACTTTCTTGACTTCCACAAACTAATTAAGCTTAATAGAATCTAAATGCTCCGCTATGCTAGCTCAATGTGATCATGAGTGTAGTTTGATTAACTCGATCAAGTAATTTGATCCTGAGTAACTCACTTGGCCCCAAGTGACCTAAAATATTAGCGAGATTTTACAACATTAGCTAACCTATGTTTATCTAATTGACTAAGTGCCTAAATGGAACCCTTCACAATTATAGATCAACTCCTTTGATGAAATTTAACATTTTCTAATCTTATTAAAATTTTGTTTGAGACAATTTTTTTATTGTTTTTTAAAACTTGTTAATACAAACATATTTAAATAAAAAAATTTTTGTATTAAACAACTACTTAAAAAATAATAAGAAAACTATCCAAACGGCTTTCTTATTGTTTTATAAAACAATTTTTAGTACATTTTTTTTTAAAAAAATAGGGAAAAAACGATGGCAAAAATATGTCCGGAAGCCTAAATGATGGGTGCACGCAATTGGAAATAAATATATTATTTCCTAACCTAGGTGCACTCAATTAATTAATATTTATGCCTCAATTGAGTTTAACAAACTCCATATTAATTACATGGCTTGAAATAAGCTTAACAAGTTAATTGGTCCATCAATTCACCCAAACATGTTGACTAAGGCTTCTTTTGGGACAATTTTTTTACTACTTCTTAAAGCAACTTTTTAATTAAAAATTTAATTTTTTTGTACTAAAAAATTGCTATAAAAAGCAACAAAAATGCCTTCCCAAATGAAGCCTAAAACTTCATTTGAGATAACCTTTTACTAATTTCTACAATTTTTTAGTACAAAATTTTTTTATATTTAATGAAAAAACAATACCCTAAAACTATCTCAAATAAAACCCAAGTCATACAAACTTATAATGCAATTAATCATACTAAACTCGATAAGCTTATAATGGGTAGCCAGTGATTACTTGGGTTTAACTACGGCTATGTTTGAGACAACTTCAATTTTTTATAAAGGTTATTCTAAAGTTATTGTAAACTTTAAAAGCTATTATAGAAAACAACTTTCTAATAAAAAAAAAAATGATTGAAATCAATGCAAAAACAATGACAAAATAAAAATTCTAATTACAATCTAAAAAAACAAATCAATAAGAAAATTATCCCAAATAATGCCTAAATCAACACATGAAGCCATCTACATGACACTTCATGAATCTTAAAAAAATTATCAAATCTATTTCCCACACTGTTATTTTTGAACTAATTGAAGAGAATATTCTTACAAAGATGAGATTCCCCAAGCTGGATGAAAAATCATATAACTAAAAAAATTTAGTTGTGCAGACAAAATGATATTTTGGAACAAAAAGTTAAAATTAACACTCGAACATTTATATGCAGCCATTTTAATATGAAACTATAAAATTATTCAATTTAGTTTATTAATTCTTCAATATGATCCAAAATAATTCTTTTGTTAGATCAAATTTGAGAAATTAAGAAATTAAATTGAACATATTAGATAATTTGGGACTAAAGAGCTTCCTATAACTAGTTCAATACTATCTGACCTTTTTCTCTAATATTTTATGTAATTATATGCATTTATAACAAATTAACATTCCCAGTTGCTTGAAATTTCACAAGAATAGCTCAGCATGTGGCATCAAACCTCATGTAAGCAATAAGAGGCTTTATTACACAGCCTACAACTTGTTATGGTGATAATAATTCCTTCAGCAGTTTAATACTTATATTACAACATCAACACCATCTCTGTACCCGTATCCCATTTATTTGGGGTATATATAAACGCACATGTATTGCAGAAAAATTAAGAAAATAGAAGTTCAATGTTGAAAGTGAATCGTTAATTCACCATAACCATTGTTTCCCCTGCAAGCGATCAAATATCAAATAGGTTAAGAAATGAAATTCTGGAGCTAGCAAGCTGTAGATTATTTGCAACATGGTTCTCAGAAATTCGCATCCAGCCATGCAGAATTAATGCATAATCATCTCAACTGCATATGAAATTACCAGCGTACAAGTATAAATACAACGTGAAACAAGCACAGAATCATGAAAAAGTTCCAGAAAGTTTGTTGATAAGGGAAATTTCGGCTACAAACCTGCTCTAAAGTTTTGATTGCGGAATCTGGCTCTGTGTTTTTGCTTTCCTAATCAGAGCTTCTTGTGTTACTGATACAATGAGCTGCACATAGATACGAAGAGGACTAGAGTGTTTTTGAAAAGCTAGAAAATACTGTTGATTTTAAGGATAAGTGGTGATTCATTTACCTCCCCATGTTTGTTAAACATTCGGCCCGAGACAAATCCTCGTCCACCAGAGGCTGAAGGACTCTCTATCTATTAAAACATTGAACGATACAGCATGATTTATTGATAGTTCTACATGAAACTGTAACCAAAAGAAATCAAGCAATGGATATGAAAGCTACCGCAAACAATAACCAGTCATCCGCTTTGACGGTTCTATGGAACCACATCCTGAAAAGGAGAAAATTGTAATATTTTTTCAGTCAATAAATTTCTTTCCAAGTTATATTGAATATTCATGATGATATTGTTAACTCTTTTACCCTAAAGGACTGCTTTAACTTATCTGAACTGAGCTGGCCCTTTAATGGATCTCAAGCTGGTCCATAACTACTTATCAGTAAGAACTTTTGCAGGCCAGATTGTTACACCATTCAAATCATATTTTGGCTCAAAGACATTTCAGTTTATCCTATTAAAATATGTGATACTAACATCGTGCACTGTACTACGCAAAGGGTAGTAGTATTTCATAAATAAAGAAAGATGGGAAAACAATATCCAAGTGAAAAATAGGAATGACGCATGCATACGGACAATTGTTTGTTTATGTTAAAGAATCTATTTATATCAATATTGACTATAGAAAGAGTGGGTACAATAAAAGTTAACTATAATTTACAAATGAAAAGTTACAGTCTAGAAGTATGTCAGATTTTAACTCCTAAAAGAAAAGATAAAACAACAATTTCCCCCATGATGAGGAAAATTTGCACAAATCAATTTTTTTAAATTATATACTATTTTAAATTTTACTTATTATGCAAACAACTATAATATAGTAGCATGATGATAGTACTGAAAAAAAAAAAAGAGTAGAGATATCTCGGCAAAAATTTGGTTGGGATAAATTTTATAGTTGTTGAATTTATTTTGAGATTAATGTTAGTAATAGTTAATTGATTAATCAGATATTGCACTAATCTTAAAATAAATCTAATGTATAGAACTAGTTCTAATCAAATTTGGGATAGGAGATCCGGACCTAAAATTTCTGCATTAGTAAATTTGTTTTTCCATACTGCAGCATATTAAACTATCGGCAATGCAAATAAACTATAGTTACTATACAAATTTATTATAAAAAAAAAAAGTTTTGCACAAATATCAGATTATTTTGGTATAGCCAGAAAGATCAATAGCAACCAGAAAATACCAATGCAATAGTTATTAAATGCTAAGGTATTCAGGTAAATGTAATGGGTACAACGGCCTTTGTAATACACGTCACATTCCATTCAGTTAAGAGACGTTTTTGGTCATTAAGTAGTAGGTTGCAATTTGCAAAGCATTTCCTTGAGATTTTAGATAGCCTGGAGTGTCTTCATATGCACAATTTTAGTTCATATGACGCAACAACACTTACTTTTTTACTTAAAAAATTAGTATCAAGACATCTTGATGCAAATTCACATCAAAATAGTTCATCATATATGATGTGCCACATGATAAAATTCTATTTTTTAAATCCATGTCTTCTATTAACAAATTTTCTTCTACCGTCTCATTATTTCTTACAATTTTCTGATTACGCATTTAAGAGCCCATTTATAGGAGACAAGTGTTGCTTAATGAACTCAAAACTACTATGAATTTGCATCAGAATGTTCGGATATAATTTTTTTCCTTTTTTACTTTGTTGATGAGTAGATCCAAACAATTATAAATTGAGGCCCATACTCCTCATGATAGACCAAATATTGGACAACAAGCTCCATAGTCATCTGGCAAAATATTTAGGATATTATAAGTGTACAATAAAGGGTACCAATAACACTAAATAGGATTGCATAGCTAGCATTAAAAGATGGTTTTCATACATGATATGTTCTAAAAATTTCTCCAACCTCATGCAATTGAGATACTAAGAGCACCCCAATAAATTGCATGAAAAAATTCCCAACATGAAAATTCATGAAAAAAGAACTAAGTAATTTATAAATATTATTACAAAAAGAAGAAATATACAAATAGATAAAATTATTATGCAAAATAAAATCAAATAATCAAGGGTGAATGTGTTCATAGGTTTTCTATAGAAATTATTCATAAAAAAACAATAGCTAATATATGTTTTAAATGTCTCACGTGAACATGATTTTCTACAAATATTATGAGTTGCTTACTAATTAAATTATATTTTGATTTACAATACAAGAGTTTTACTCACTACATTACTTTCATAAGTAAAGATATAAAGATAGGCCTAATGGTTATAGATTATAGACAAAACATATGGCATAAAAATTGTATCTTAGTCATCTTAAAGCTTCCGGATTTACTTTGGGCCTTTTTCACATTGTCCTTAGCACTATTATAATTAACTATTTCATAACAGACTAGCAGTTTGCACCCTATCTCAGCTTAGACTAAATATTAACCTGTTGAAATCATCAAATTCAACCCGTAACTGATACTTTGCCAGCCTAATCCCAAACTAGCCTCATGACTAACTAATTGCAATTGAACTTATGTCATACTTTCAACTAAAAAATAATTCTTGCCCTGCTATGCCAATGGGGGTGATATAAGCCAAGGGTGAGTTTCAGCCTTTCACCTAAGATAATAGTGGACATCTATGCCTTGCTAAGCCGATGAGACAAATATCGGCCAAAGGTGAGTTGGGTTAGACAGTGCTCTTAAGATGGATGTATTAATATATCCAAAAAATTTAAGTTAAGATATGATAAGCTATAGAACAAATGAATGCTATGATTTTATGTATAGCCTGTTGAAGTTCACGTATGCTAATTTGGCATGAGAGAAGCGGAAGAGAAGGGCAACAGAATAACACAACGTTGTGTGTATCAAACTCAAAATCCCTCGAAGTTGCATGAAATCACCCAAACATCATACATTTGTGAAGAGGAGTATGTCGACATGTCCAAAATGTCAAATCTACTAAAGGACCGCTCACATATAAGACATTCAAGTGATGAAAGTGATGGCGGGTAGATACTACGAAGCTCAATACTTCCCAAACAACCTCCAATCATGAAACAGACAACATCATTGCACTAAAAAATCAAAATTACCTAAGAGGACCTCTCCTGATCAATTCCAGTGAAGACGATTGAAAACAATGGTCTATGGGAGCGAAGATGTGCAAAGTCACCAGGACGTTGCTTGTTATTTAAACGAACTTTGTCATTGCATCCGAATCATAGAAAATAATTAGGAAGGATTGCAATATTGATTGGGTTGTGGCATGAGCAAGAATTCAAAATTCGCCAATGTGAGAGGCTAGTCATGTAAATTAAGATGAACGGAAATTTAAAAAATATGCAAGAGTCAATTCACAATTTCTTTTTATAATATGCTAATTAAATTTGGAGTTATTAATTATTTTTAATTTATATATATATATATACATATATATAATTCTATCACTAATCAAATCTCCTTTATCCTGCTTGCCACATCCTTATGAATTCAATGCTATCCCAATTAGCTGTCAGTGAGTCAACAAAAAAAAATTATATCTAATCTAACTTACTAACACACTCAATTTTTCCCTTTTATATTGTTTTTACGCAGCAGCAGCCCATCTACCCCAAAATTGGCATCTCGACGTCGTCGTCACTACCTTGCACGCAAGTATAATTTGGAAAATTCCATAATAAGTACCTGTTTGTATTGTTCTAATACAACGGGGAAACAAGCCAATTGTAAGTACTTGTTCATATTGTTCCAGCGTGGGGAGAAACATATAATCTAAGTACCCGTTAGCATACTTCCAGCGTGGTGAGGAAACCTTTAAACCGAAGTAACTACTTGCATAGTTCCAGCATGGAGGAGAAATCCTCTTCTTCTCATGTAGGTATTAAAGGTCTATGCGTGCTTTTTTAAGTGCGGTGAGTAGAAGATTCCGTATCACGGTGTCACTTAATACCAACCATCCTGCTTCTGTATAAGTATGATGAGCAGGCCTTAGCACTCCCCAAAATTTTCCTAAAAGAGTGAGATGTCAGGAGGCTACTAAAATTTCACCTGAACATTATTTAAATAGAGAACTATTAAAATAACCTGCACAACTATAAATGCAACGAAAACACAACTTTGAATGCACGTTAACGACAAAAACAAAAACACTAAGGTGCAACACTTGTTTTGAATGAATAACATTAAAAATAAATAAGGGACTTTAATAAAACCGTTTGCTTACCTATGAATAAAATTAGGGGACTTGTAATGAATACATGGCTTGCATACGAGCAAGAGAATGGAACCTATAATGTGCTTACTGCATAGCAGTTTTCCCATGGGCACGAATTGGGAACTTGTAATAAATACAATAGTTCGCTGATGGGAAAGAATAGGGAAATTCTAACGAAAAGAGCAACTTTCCTACATACAAGAGTGGGAGATTTGCAATGAACACAACAATTCGCCTATGGGCATGAAGAGACTTTTAACAAACACGTTAACTTGTCTACAAGCAATAACATAGAACTTGTAGCGAACAGGGAAGTTTGCTTATGAGCTAGAACATGAACCCTAGACTTCAACTAAGGGCACATACTCTACAAGCTGTGTTAAATGAGAATTCAAATGAGACTAAATGAATTAAATAACATCTCTCCTATCTAGAGGAAAATAGATTTAATTCGCCTTCAAATGCCACCGAATCCACAACACGCATGCAAGCAGACAAAATGCATATCAAAGGCACAAAATGAAACATCGCGTGCATCCAAACTACAAATCCTTGAGCAAAAAACAAAATTGAATGATTTTAAAATCTCACACGTATTAAAATATAATTTTCTAAAACCCAAGCACCTTGCCTCATGAAGCACGTCGATGCTTCTAAAAGCTCGCTATAAGTTCAGAATATTACTGAGATTTATTCTCAAATAATCTCCTAAAAGATGTTGCAAGTGTTCTCAAATTCGTAGTTTGACCCAATGGCTCCACAAGACTAATGGCTTGGACCGATGACTCTACAAGATAAACAGTTATGACAGGGTCCTCAAATCTTTGGTTTTGCCCAATGGTTCCATACAGTGAACGATTATGATCGAAACCCTCTAATTGAGTGGTTTGGCACAACTACTTCATTATATTATGATCACAGCTGAAGCTCGTATATTCCCCAATGACTAATACCATTGAGTAATGAATCATAAAATATACTTTAAAAAGCATAAAACCCTATATTAGCTACAGTTGACTTGAATTTATCTCTTAGACAAACATTCACCCCAAGATTATAAGGTACCCTTATATGAAGCCACCTATGGTTGTTTATAATGTTCCTTTGATCAAGTTAGGTCGACTGCGTCCTCTAACTAAGTAGACTAGGGACCATAATGACTAGGGATAATGGACCATGGTATCTTGATTGGGTTCATTATAATTCCCCCTTACCATCTGCTTTAAGAGCATGATAATAAATTTCAAATTTCTAAATATATGAATCTGCTATTACCATGCAGGGTACTAAGTATCTATCTAATGACTAGCTTAATCAAAAGTACCCTTTCATCACTAAAAGAGGTAAGTAACTATCTGGGCTTACATCTAAAAGAAATCATATCTTAGATCATAAAGTCCTCACATATGTGGGTGAAATATCTAAGTAATGTCTTATCACTAATCAATCTGCCTTCCAAAAAATTTTCCTCGAAAATTAATCCGTTAAAATTGCTCCCAAATTGTGGGCTCCGAAAATTCGGCCTCGGCCTCCACTCGCTTTTCTTATTTGGCGATCATTTTGGTAGATAACTCAAAGAAAGCTATGCTCAAATTAGTCAATTTAATATTTTGTAGTAGCCTTATCATTTTATTGGCTTTAAACTTTTTTGAAAGCAACAGTAATTTTACACATATATTAATCACAGCAAACAAAGACATGATGTGGGACATACTCAGGTAATGCTTGCGGGGGTATACACTTTTTTTTTCCATGCATTTTTTTCCTTCTAGCATTAATGCCATAAATGAAAGAAGAGAATGGGTTGAATTTTCTTCCAAATCTGCCTCTATTTTCGGGTCAATACTACTATATGTTTTGCATTTTGGAAAATTGAGTCGGGTGGCTATTGGTTGGGCATTTTTTTTAATTTTTAATTTTTAATTTTTAGGGATAAGTTGTCAACCCAGAAGCATGAAGTATTTAGGCAAAAATAGATGGTTTGATTGAGATTCTTAAAATATATTTTACTAATATTAAATTATATTCAAATAAAATTGCTATTTTTTTTTCACTAAGAACTTGCAACATTATTGAAAGGGGTCACTAAATTATCAAAGGCAAGTGCTTTCCTAGAATAGCAGAATAATATAGTTATTCGCATTTAGATTTCTAAATACCTTTTTGAAGCTTCACGTTTGACATTACAAACTTTCTCTTTAAAATCCTCAAGATCTTATCCTAAATTATTTTAAACTGAGAATAATAATTAGTTATCAATCAGTCACATCTAACAAAAATTGATTAATGTCCAATCACTGGGCCAAAGGCAAAAGTATATGAGCTTAAACCTGAAGGACGAGAGGCCTAACCATGAGAATCTACATTTTTTATATTTTATGGGCTTAAGTCTTATGATGTTTATGAATTTAATATTTTTGGGTGTTTAAGGTGTTATGTTTATTTCATATTATATATTTTCTTTGTTAGTAGTCATTTTGCGCCAATACCCAAAACTGCTTGTTTCAGTGAGCAGTCAGGCAACCCGGTAACCCAGTGGGTCGGGGTTGGGTTCAAAATTTTACGACCTGTTTACAAAAATCGGGTTGGGTTCGGGTCAACCTGTTTGGACCTGGGTCAATCTCGGGTCAATTCCCGGGATCGATTAGAACCCGTCCCGGACGACCTATTTTTAAACACCCCTAATATAGTTAGTCTAGGTACTTCCTAGATGGTCCAGCAAGGAGCAAAGTTGGGTCAGTCCTCTCTCTCCCCTTTTACCTTTCATTGTATGTTTGAATGAAGATGTGTGTCTCTTCATTTAAATCAGTTTCTAAATACTCCTTTGGGATTGAAATGAATGTTATTGTTTGTGCTTACACGTTTTAGCGTGAATTTCCAAAAGAGGGTAAGAGGCTTGGTGGCCGACTATACTCAAGAGATTGGCTGATCTCTTTGAAACCTTACTTTGATAAGTAGTTTTTCTTTTTCTTTTTTCTGCAATCTCTCAACTGTAAATTTCTTTATTTGTGTTCTTCCCTTAGTATTTACAACTTAGAAAATCTTAAATCTCATTCCATCCCTCTTAAATCCAAGTAAAATTACCCATAATTAGTATGGTCAGGATTTTCTGGAATTGTAACTAGTTTCAATTCTTTTGAAAAGCATTGACAACATAAACTACTCAAAACCCACCAAAATCTCTATATCATTATAACATCCTATAATCTGCAATAATCCCTAAATTTATTTAGGGTTCTTCCTAGTAAACAATTTGGAGATCAACTCAATCTAATTTGTATTTCCCTATTTTTACTGTTCTACGAATGTTACTTGTCTCCAATCACAAAAACAAACCACCAAAATAATATCAAAACTACATAAAAAATAAAAAAAAAAACTTCCCAATCCATCTAGATGAATGTCCTATGAAACCATTCCAAGCTAAAATTTTCTCAGTTCCAATTGATCTATAGAAATCCACATGTAAATTCCCAAAGCTGTCAGTTCTGAAATAGAAAATTGATCGTTCGACTTCCATAGTACAATTTACTCAGAACCTTTTTTCTATCTTATCAACTCTAGAATTTTAAGTTGACATCCATACCTACAAAATCAGTACATGTTTGCTTGATTTTGAAATATGTAGATGATTGCAAGAATTGTCACTTACCATACCTCACTTTTCAAATTATTCCCTCCACCTAATTTAACTCTTGTAGTCAATTTTAGAAAGAGTTCCATCTACCAATTGATCATCAATGATCTAAGGTCTTCACCATCAACCATTTCCACACCAAAAATTATATCTCTAAATTCATTATAGCTCAAATGGAAAAATGAACAACTTTGCAAACTAACCATCATAGGATATAAAAAAATAATGGCTTAGCAATCATGGACCCTATATTTACTTAACATTAATCTGGTGTGTGGCTTCGAAAATTTGGTTTAGGTGCCCCGACCTCTCAACATTAATTTTGTGTTGACCTATATGTATTACCGGTAGAACAAAAAAAAAATCAAAATCATACCGCGGCGGATCACGACATCTGCCCGAAATCCCGGATCCTGCTGAAATCACGCTGGCAGCGCCGATTCACGTTTGTTTCTCCGTATTCCCTGCCGAATTCCGCTCTCGATCCACTCCAGCTCCCGTCGTTAAATATACGACCAAATGAGACACTTCTCCCACGACAACTCTCTGCTTCCTTCGGCAGACCTCTCTCGCACGACTCCTCTCCCGATACCTCTGCTCTGCTCCCATCGCTGTTTCCCTCCGATCCTCACCACCCGAAGCCGATCGGAAGCCCCAACCTCCACGCCTCCTCCGACCGATCCCGTCCGACCTCCCTGCCTTCGACTCCTAGCCCGACGTCAACCTACAGAGCCGAACCCGTCGCTCCTCCTCCGACTGCCTGTGCCGATCCCGATTCAGAGAGAAACAGAGAGAGAGAGAGGAAGAGAGAGAGGAGAGAGAGAGAGAGATTTACACTACCTCTTCCAAGCCATCCGACCCGTCGATCTCCTCCTCTGCCCGACGCTCCCTCCGATCTCTCCTGATCGCTCCCACTGCCGCAAGGCTTGCACCGCTCTTGCGATCCAATCTCTACCCGACTCCTCTTTCGCCGTCCAACTTCGCCCCAACGACGGCTCTCCCTTCCTGTCACGGTCGGAAGTTACGACATTTTGGTCGGGTGCAAGAACAGGAGCTCGTCAGCTGTGTAAGTAACTTTCTCCCTTGCTCGCGCTTCTTCGGCTTGATCCGTGAAACCAAGAGAAGAGAGGAGAGAGATTAAGATATAATTATATTTTTTTATTAAATATAATATTATGATTAAATAATTATAATTAATTTGATTAATTATAATTACTTTTTAAATTTTAATTAATCATAATTTAATTGTTATTAATCTATTTATTAATTATAATTATCAGAATTTTTAATGTGTTAGTTATATTAATAAATTTATAAACTAATTATTTTAAATAATTTAATAAGTTATAACTAATTTTTTTAATTAATTATAGTTAATTATGATTAATTAATTAATATAATTATAATTAATAAATATTTATAAATTTAAATGCAATATCTCTCTCCCTCGATCCTCGAACCGACATCGCCAACCCTACGAAGGTACGAAATCTCCTAAACTCAGATTGTCGTTTCGTTGTAACGGCGGACCGGAAAACCGCCTATACACGCCTTTTATTGCGCGTGGTGGGATGGGACCCCGGTCCGACGCCTACGACGAGGCGGGAATCGCCTAAACTCTATTCGGTGTTCGTGGCGCACCGGAAAACCAGCCTATACACGCCTTTATTGCGTGTGGTGGGAAGGGATCCCGGTGCGGCACCTACGACGAGGCGGGGTCACTCATAAGTACCCCCGAGCGGGGGAAAGCAAACTTGTGCATCTTTAAACCGCCACCATCGAAGCCCGCGAAGGTACGAACTCTCTAAACTCAGATTCTGCTTCGTTGTTTGCAGCAGACCGGAAAAACTCCTATCATGCCTTTATTTGCGCGTGGTAGGATGGGACGCCGGTCTGATGCTTACGACGAGCGAGCAATCG